CTGTGCACCTTCTAAGCCTTGGAGTCTTCTGAGGAAAAATTCTGCTTTGCGAGCTACTGGCATTAAAGTTGTGAGCGAGCGATTTGGCTGCTGCATCACTTAGTTTGCTCTGGAGCCCTCCTTCCTGAGCGAAGGCAAAATCGTGCGATCTGGAGGTTAGAAAACTGTGAGCTAGCTCGCACTAACTCAGCTTAGAGGGAACACTGACTGTGACCATGAGATGAAAAGTAGGAACAAGTAATTTTCCAAAAAAAAATGTTCACAGTGCCATCTTGAGCGGAATTGTTCCTGTCTCAGCCCCACAGGTTTCAATGGACTAGTCAAGCAAAAGCAGCTATTACTGGGGTTAACTGCAAAGAGTTGAACAAAGACTGGGGATTTCTTATAGGATGTAGAGGTTACCGGTTTTAGCAAAACTCCCCACCCATTGTGGGTGATGATGAGTTTAACAAAATTCGTTCCCCCCACCCTTTAACTATACTTCCTACATAAAATGCATCCAGAGCTGGATGGCCTGGTTAGTATTTGGATGGGAAACCACCAAGGAAATCCAGTATTGCTACACAGAGGCAGGCCATTGTATTGCTACACCTCTGAACGCCTCTTGCCTTGAAACCTCTATGGGATCACCATGAGTCAGCTGCGACTTGACGGTGCTTTCCAACACCGCCACCACATTAAAAAATCTGGATTTACGTCTGAAACAGTAGCCTGGATGGTATTGTTGGACTCCTGTATCTTGACTTCAGTAACTTGAAGAGAGAGGAAAAAGGTCTTACTTCAATTTAAAATAAATCTTGTGTAACTAGCCCATCGCTTAAAAATCGTCTAAGCCAACTGTTTGACAATCCTGCACATAAACACTTGGCAGTAAGCCTGTCTGAACTCTGTCGGGCTCTTTTCTGAAAAGACAGAAAGAAACTTGAATGCAAAAAAAAAAATTACAATTAGTAACAAGGCTTTAAGGATGTGAAGTCCTCAGTTTACTTTTCATGCCATCCAGCAAAGTCCTAGTTATCTGGGAATAAGCTTTCTTGTGCATGTACACGTCAAAGAAGTGTATATGCACATGAAAGGTAATACCCAGAATTGTACTTCATTTGTCTTAAAGGTGCTGCTGGACTCAAACTTTGTTCTAGTTACCTTTAGTAAGTTATTTAAATCCTATTTATTAGTAGGAGACTCTTCAGAGTGAGGAGCATGTAGCATAATTGTGATTGCATTCCCTCCCCTTCTCATTTTGTTCACACAAAGAATTTGGACATACATTAGAGGCCCAGCGTAACCAGTGCTTCTGCCATTATGAATTGCCATTCCATGGAAGTGGATGGACTACAAATCTTGTCTAAGTGTGGTTTGCTGTGTCCACTAGCATGCAGTGTTCAATGTACCTTTATGAGCTGGGAATTTGTAGGTGGTTGTGTTTTACGGGCTTGAAGCCTTGGAAGGAACTACAGCCTGTGACAAAATAATGGCAGTGTTTCTCAGGGATTGTATTGTAGATATCCCCTCAATGGGCCTTAAGTAAAGGTAAAGGTTCCCTTGCTCGAATGCCAGTCGAATCCGACTCTAGGGTTGTGGTGCTCATCTCCGTTTCAAAGTCGAAGAGCCAGCGCTGTCCGAAGACGTTTCCGTGGTCATGTGGCCGGCATGACTAAACACCAAGGCGCACGGAACGCTGTTACCTTCCCACCGAAGTGGTCCCTATTTATCTACTTGCAATTTCTTGCTTTCGAACTGCTAGGTTGGCAGGAGCTGGAACTAGAGACAGGAGCTCACCC